AAACTTCAGAGGTACCAATGCACCTACCTATAAAATGATTAAATGAGGAAGCAATATAAGTTAAACAATGGCCTTTAACAGAAGAGAAACTGCAGGCTTTAGAACAGGTGGTACAGGAGAAACAAGATTCTCAGCATATTGAAAATCAATTATTCTCCACTTTTTTTAAATTATTTTTTTCCTTATTTATTTATTTAAAGAATTTCCACTTCCTCCCCTCCTCCCAATACCCTCCCGCTCCTGCTTCCCCCACTCCTTCTCCTCCTCCCTCCCCATCCCCAAGACCAGTCAGGGTTTCCTGCCCTGCAGGAAATCCAAGATCCTCCCCACTCCCTCCAGGTCCAGGAAGGTAAGCATCCAAACAGACCAGGATCCCGAAAATCCAGTCCATGCCAAACGAATCAAGACCCAGTGCCATTGTCAATGGCTTCTCAGTCAGCCCCCATTTCAGTCACATTCAGAGAATCCGGTTTGATCACATGCTCGTTCAGTCCCAGTCCAGCTGGCCTTGGTGAGCTCTCATTCAATCAGTCCCCTTGTATCAGTGGGTGAACGCACCCTTCGCGGTCTTGACTTCCTTTTTCATGTTCTCCTTCCTTCTGCTCTTCATTTGGACCTTGGGGGCTCAGTCCAGTGCTCCAATGGGGGTCTCCGTCTCTATCTCCATCCATCATTTGATGAAGGTTCCCTCTGGTTCTGCTTTCCTTGCTCACGATCTCCCTCCCTCTGCTTCTCATTTGGACCTAGGGAGTTAAGTCCAGTGTTCCACTATGTGTCTCTGTCTCTATCTCCATCCTTTGCCATATGAAGGTTCTGTGGTGACATGAAAAATATTCATCAGTATGGTTATGGACCTAGGCCAGTTCAGGTACCCTCCTCTGCTGCCCAGGGAACAATCTGGGGACCTCTCCTTGGGTCTGGGAACCCCTCCAGAATCAAGTCTCTTGCAAACCCTAAAATGGCTCCCTTAGTTAAGGTATAAACTTCCCTACTCCCATAGCCATCCTTCCTCCCTCCCTCCCTCCCATTCCCCCAAGCCATCCCCAGTTCTCCCCATATCCCCTCTCCCTAACCATCTCCCCTTACTTCCACCCCCCCCTTTGTCTGGCAATCTTGTCTACTTCTTCCGTTGCTTCAGCCAATAGTCACTGAAGCACGAGCCCACGGTGCTGCGGGAGGGCCTTCCACTCCGTCACCCAATAGCGCTGAAATACCAGCCCATTGGGGCGTGGTATATTTCTCTTTTAAAAAGAGCCACAGATATCGGCTTGGGCCTCTAGGTTCCAGCTCTTGGTCCTGGCTCCTGCTCCCGGCCCCTGCTCCAGTGACAAGGCTCCCTTCCTGACGGTTTATGGTGTATGTAAGTTTTACCCCTCAAAATAAATAACCCCTTAAAACATAACTGGTGTGGGATTGATTCGCCCTTACTCAAAGACATTTAACTATGGCTCGAATCCACTTATGAGTGAGTACATACCATATTCCTCTTTTTGGGTCTGGGTTATCTCACTCAGTAAAGCATTTTCTATTTCCATCCATTTGCATGCAAAATTCAAGATGTCATTGTTTTTTACCGCTGAGTAAAACTCTAATGTGTATATGTTCCACACCTTTTTTAACCATTTTTCTATTGAGGGGCACCTAGGTTGTTTCCAGGTTCTGACAATTACAAATAGTGCAGCTATGAACATAGTTGAACAAATACTTTTGTGGTATGATAGGGCATCTCTTGGGTATATTCCCAAGAGTGGAATTGCTGGGTCCTGAGGGAGGTTGACTCCCAGTTTCCTGAGAAACCGCCACACTAATTTCCACAGTGGCTGCACAAGTTTGCATTCCCACCAACAATGGATGAGTGTTCTCCTCACTCCACATCCTCTCCAGCATAGGCTATCATTGGTGTTTTTGAGTTTAGCTATTCTGACAGGTGTAAGATGGTATCTCAAAGTGGTTTTGATTTGCATTTCCCTGATCGCTAAGGAGGTTGAGCATGGCCTTAAGTGTCTTCTGGCCATTCGAAGTTCATCTGTTGTGAATTCTCTGTTAAGTTCAGTACCCCATTTTTAATTGGGTTAATTAGAGTTTTTGTGTCTAGTTTCTGGAGTTCTTTGTATATCTTGGGGATCAGACCTTTGTCTGATGAGGAGTTGGTGAAGATCTTCTCCTAGTCCGAAGGTAGCCTTTTTGTCTTACTGACAGTGTCCTTTGCTTTACAGAAGCTTCTCAGTTTCAGTAGGTCCCATTTATTCATTGATTCTCTTATTGTCTGTGCTACTGGGGTTCTACTTAGAAAGTAGTCTCCTGTGCCTATATCTTGTAGACTACTTCCCACTTTCTCTTCTATCAGGTTCAAAGTGGACAGATTAATGTTGATGTCTTTAATCCATTTGGACTTGAGTTTTGTACATGGTGATAGATATGGATCTACTTTCATTCTTCTACAGGTTGACATCCAGTTATGCCAGCACCATTTGTTAAAGATGCTTTCCTTCTTCCATTGTATACCTTTAGCTCCCTTGTCGAAAATTAGGTGTTCATAGGTTTGTGGGTTAATATCTGGGTCTTCTATTTGATTCCATGGGTCGACTTCTCTGTTCTTATGCCAATACCAAGCTGTTTTCCATACTGTAGCTGTGTAATAGAGTTTGAAGTCAGGGATGATAATGCCTCCAGAAGTTCCTTTATTGTATAAGATTGTTTTGGCTATCCTGGGTTTTTTGTTTTGCCATATAAACCTGATTATTGTTTTCTCAAGGTCTGTGAAGAAGTTTGATGGGATTTTGATGGGGATTGCATTGAATCTATAGATTGCTTTTGGTAGAATTGCCATTTTCAGTATGTTGATTCTCCCAATCCAAGAGCATGGGAGGTCTTTCCATTTTCTGGTATCCTCCTCAATTTCTTTCTTCAAAGACTTAAAGTTCTTGTCAAATAGGTCTTTCACTTCCTTGGTTAGAGTAACCCCAAGATATTTTATGCTATTTGTGGCTATCGTGAAAGGTGATGTTTCTCTGATTTCCCTCTCTGCTTCTTTATCCTTTGTGTATAGGAGGGCTACCGATTTTTTTGGAGTTGATCTTGTATCCTGCCACGTTACTAAAGGTGTTTATCAGCTGTAGGAGTTCTTTGGTAGAGTTTTTGGCGTCGCTTATGTACAGTATCATATCGTCTGCAAATAACGAATGTTTAACTTCATCCTTTCCAATTCGAATCCTCTTGATCCCCTTATGTTGTCTTATTGCTATTGCTAGAACTTCAAGAACTATATTGAAGAGGTATGGAGAGAGTGGACAGCCTTGTCATGATCCTGATTTTAGTGGAATGGCTTTGAGTTTCTCTCCATTCAATTTGATGTTAGCTGACGGCTTGCTGTATATTGCTTTTATTATATTTAGGAATAATCCTTGTATCCCCAGTCTCTCCAACACCTTTATCATAAATGGGTGTTGAATTTTGTCAAATGCTTTTTCAGCATCCAGTGAAATGATCATATGGTTTTTTCTTTCAGTTTATTTATATGATGGATTATATTGATAGATTTGCGTATGTTGAACCAACCGTGCATCTCTGGAATGAAGCCTACTTGATCATAATGGATAATTTTTCTAATGTGCTCTTGGATTCGGTTTGCCAGTATTTTATTGAGAATTTTCGCGTCGATGTTCATGAGTGAGATTGGCCTGTAATTCTCTTTCTTGGTTGCATCTTTGTGTGGTTTTGGTATCAGAGTAAGTGTAGCTTCATAAAAGGAGTTTGGCAATGACGCTTCTGTTTCCATATTGTGGAATACATTAAGGAGTATAGGTATTAGCTCTTCCTGGAAGTTCTGGTAGAATTCTGCATTGAAACCATCTGGTCCTGGGTTTTTTTTGGTAGGGATATTTTTGATAACAGCTTCTAATTATTCACGACTAACAGGTCTATTTAGATTGTTCACCTGTTCTTGGTTCAACTTTGGTATATGGTACTTATCTAAAAAAATGTCCATTTCTTTTACATTTTCCAACTTTGAGGAATAAAAACTTTCATAGTAAGATCTAATGATTTTCTGAATTTCCCGTGTGTCTGTGGTTATGTCCCCCTTTTCATTTCTGATCTTATTAATTTACATGTTCTGCTGTTTGATTAGTTTGGATAGGGGTTTGTCGATCTTCTTGATTTTCTCAAAGAAGCAACTTTTTGTTTCATTGATTCTTTGGATTGTTTTCTGTATTTCTATTTTGTTGATTTCAGCCCTCAGTTTCATTATTTCCAGTCTTCTACTCCTCCTGGGTGAATCAGCTTCTTTTTTTTCTAGAGCTTTCAAGTGTGCTGTTAAGTCTCCAATGTGTGCTTTCTCCATTTTCTTTAATTGGGCACTTAGTGCTATGAACTTCCCTCTTAGCACTGCTTTCATAGTGTTCCATAGGTTTGAGTATGTTGTGTCTTTATTTTCATTAATTTCAAGGAAGACTTTAATTTCTTTCTTTATTTCTTCCTTGACCCAGGAGTGATTTAGTAGTTGATTGTTCAATGTCCATGAGTTTGTTGGCTTCCTGGGGGTAGCATTGTTGTTGAATTCTAACTTTAATCCATGGTGATCAGACAAGACACAGGTGGTTACTAATATTTTTTTGTATCTGTGGAAGTTTGCTTTGTTACCAAGTATGTGGTCGATTTTCGAGAAGGTTCCATGAGCTGCAGAGAAGAAGGTATATTCTTTCCTATTTGGGTGGAGTGTTCTATAGATGTCTGTTAAGTCCATTTGATTCAATACCTCCAATAATTCTCTTATTTCTCTGTTAGGTTTCTGTCTGATTGACCTGTCCATTGGTGAGAGAGGTGTGTTGAAGTCTCCTACTATAGTGTGTGTGGTTTGATGACTGCCTTGAGTTCTAGAAGAGTTTCTTTTACATATGTGGGTGCCTTTATATTAGGGACATAGATATTCAGGATTGAGACTTCTTCCTGATTAATTGTTCCTGTTATGAGTATGAAATGTCCACCTCCGAGAGGAGGAGGAGGGGGAGGCGCGGGCAGCCATGGTGGCTGTGGTGTCTGCTGCAGGTGGAGCGTGCCCAACAGTCCTGCAGGTGGCCGGCCTCTACCGGGGTCTTTGTGCAGTGCGCAGCTGTGCCCTGGGGTTGGGACTCGTGTCACCAGCGCAGCTGTGCGTGTTCCCGGTAGGCCGGGGCTCCGGCCCGCCCTCTGGGGGAGCAGATGGCAGAGGGGTCAGCGAGTTGGAAGCTAACCCCTTCTACGACCACTACCGGGACAAGATCCAGCAGTTGTGCAGGTCCGACCCAGCTGCTTTTGAGTCCCGTCTGGAGAAATGCAGTGAGTTTCGGAAGCAACCAGTGGAGCACTCCAAACAAAGTGATTTTATCAGATGTGTGGAGCAGAAGACAGATGCCTCAGGGAAACAGCCTGTGAGCAAAGGATTCACTAAGGACAAGACTCTCAGTTCAATCTTTAACATTGAGATGGTGAAAGACAAAACTGCAGAGGAAATAAAACAGATTTGGCAGCAGTATTTTTCAGCAAAAGACACGGTCTACGCAGTTATTCCTAAAGAGAAGTTTGATTTGATCTGGAACCGGGCTCAGTCCTGCCCAACATTCCTTTGTGCACTACCAAGAAGAGATGGTTATGAGTTCTTCGTAGGACAGTGGACGGGTACTGAACTCCATTTCACTGCTCTTATAAATATTCAGACCCGAGGGGATGCAGCAGCCAGCCGGCTGATTTTATATCACTATCCTGAACTTAAGGAAGAAAAGGGCATAGTGCTGATGACAGCTGAAATGGATTCCACATTTCTGAGTGTTGCTGAGGCGCAGTGCATCGCCAATCAAGTTCAACTCTTCTATGCCATTGATCAGAAGGAGATCTTTGGGCTAGTAGAAACCTTTAACTTCAGACCAAATGAGTTCAAATATATGTCTGTCATCGCCGAATTGGAGCAAAGTGGACTTGGAGCAGAACTGAAATGTGCCCAGAACCAGGATAAGACTTAGAGATATCTGGATTGTACCTTCGCAGAGTTTACTCAGCCCTGGATAGCCTAAAGTCCACCCAAACCCTTGACCTCCAGAGTTCAACGCACAAAGCAGTCTGTACAGAGTTACCATGTATGCTACTACAAGAAGTGATTGTGGGCATGAGCCCTAATACTTGATACTCAGAACGAAGGTATACAAATACTTTGATAATTACCTCTCACTCTAAGGGTTCCTTTTTTGTGTTTCTGGGCATTTAAACAAGAAATATTCAGGGATCTGCAAGACTATTGACTGGGTTTTATTCAGTGTAACAGTGAAGTTGCATTCTGGCCATTTTGACTTCATAGCTCCCAGTTCTGTCTTCCTAAACCTGTAGCAATAAGCTTGAGGGTCTTAGAGATGTCAACTTTGTCTATTCTTTCCCTGCACCAGTGAACAGCCCAAGAATCCTGGCCAGATTCAACACAACTTGCTATTTTCCTCAAAATAAAGACTTCTAGATGCCCCTCCAGAGTTGCCTTCAGTGCAACACAGCGATTGCAGGTACAAGTACCTGAAATAATAAACAAATACATTGCCTGCACACTGTTAAACCATCGCTTTTGGCCCTGCTCCCTCAACTCTGCCTGTGAGAAGCTAATGAATCAATTCAGTGTAAACAAAATCTTTTTATAAGATCAAAAAAAAAAAAAGAAATGTCCATCTCCATCTCTTCTGATTGATTTTAGTTTGAAGTCAATTTTGTTAGATATTAGAATGGCCACACCCACTTGTTTCTTAGGTCCATTTGCTTGGAAAACCTTTTCCCAACACTTTACTCTGAGTAGGTGTCTGTCTTTGTGGTTGAGGTATGTTTCTTGTAAACAGCAGAATGTTGGATCCTGTTTTCGTATCCAATCTCTAAGTCTGTGCCATTTTATAGGTGAATTGAGTCCATTGATATTAAGTGATATTAATGACCAGTAGTTGTTGACTCCGGTCATTTTTTTGGGGGGGGGGGGTAGTAGAGTGTATGTGTTTTCCTTCTTTGAGTTGTGCTTGTGAAGGGTTGCTAGATGTTTGAGTTATTGTAGGCAGTGTTGAGAATGTTGGCTTCCTTGGGTTGTGATTTTCCTTCTAATATTCTCTGTAAGGTTGGATTTGTAGCAACGTATTGTTTAAATTTGTTTTTATCCTGGAAGATTTTGTTTTCTCCGTTGATAGTGAACAATAGCTTGGCTGGGTATATTAGTCTAGGCTTGCATCCCTGGTCTCTTAGTTTCTGCAGTACCTCTATCCAGGACCTTCTGGCTTTCACGGTTTCCATAGAGAAGTCTGGTGTAAGTCTGATAGGTTTCCCTTTATAAGTTACTTGACCTTTTTCCTTCGCAGCTCTCAATATCCTTTCTTTAATCTGAATGTTTTGTGTTTTGATTATTATATGGCGAGGGGATTTTTTTTCTGATCCAGTCTATTCGGTGTTCTGTATGCTTCTTGGACCTTCGTAGGAATATCGTTCTTTAGGTTGGGAAAGTTTTCTTCTATAATTTTGTTGAATATATTTTCTGGACCTTTGATCTGCAATTCTTCTCCTTCTTCTACCCCTATTATTCTTAGATTTGTTTTGTTTATTATGTCCCATATTTCCTGAATGTTTTGTGATGAGAATTTGTTGGATTTGCTGTTTTCTTTGGTCAGAGCATTTATTTTCTCTATGGTGTCTTTATAATCTGAGATTTGTTCTATCTCTTGAATTCTATTGGTTATGCTTGTTCCTGAAGTCTCTGTTTACCTAGCTTTTCCATATCCAGCCGGCCCTCGGTTTGTGATTTCTTCATTGACTCCATTTCAGTTTTCAAATCTTGAACTGATTCCACTACCTGTTTGATTGTTTTTTCTTGGTTTCCCAGGGTATCGTTTACGAATTTACTCATTTCTTCAAACTTTTTGGTATATTTCTCTTTTATTTCTTTACTCATTTCTTCAATCTTTTTGCTATATTTCTCTCCTATTTCTTTAAGTGAGTTATTCATACCCTGTTTAAGAGACTCTATTGCTTTCATAATGACACTGTTTTCCACTTCTTCCAGAATAGGATGTTCAAGTCCTTCTGTCATAAGATCACTGGAATCTGGTGTTTTCATGTACTTTTCAGATTGTTGGAGAAATTCTTGCCTTGGCGCCTGCCCATCTCTTCCTTCAGATGTTCTCCAATGGCTCTTCCCTCCGCTGGGTCTTCTGCTACAGGATTAGTGCCCCTTGCTGGCCAGAAATCACTTTGCCTGCAGTCCTACCTTGCTGCAGGCAGGCTATTAAATCAAAGGAACTCCCTCCCTTTTGCACTCACCGCCCCGTCCTGGCAGCGCCCACCCAGGCTGAGTTGGAGGATTTTATGCCCTGAAAAAGGGAGAGAGGAAGGGACTGGGTTCCAGGCTGAAAGCGGTGATGGGTTAGGGGGAGAGAGGGTTTAAGTGGGGGAAGCCACCCCTTCGGAATACCCAGGGAGATAAGGATGACGGGAAGATTGTGTGTTCCCTTACCAGGCTTCGATTTGATCTTTCTACGACTGCTTAACCTGTAGGATTGTATGGTATACCTGTAACATGCTTAATATTATAATAAGCAAAAAACTGTTTCATTTTCCTAGAGACATAAGCTGTACCATTATCGGTTTTTATTTGTGCAGGTATGCCCATAATGGCCATAACTTCTAATAAATGTGTGATTACTGAGTCAGCTTTTTCTGAGCTCAAGGCAGTTGCCCATTGAAAGCCTGAATAAGTGTCAATGGTGTGATGTACATATTTTAATCTTCCAAATTCTGCAAAGTGGACCACATCCATCTGCCAGATTTTATTTCTTTGAGTACCCTTCGGGTTAGTCCCTGAAGGTAATGGTGTTTGGTTATATAAAGAGCAAGTAAGGAATCTCCTTATTATCTCCTTGGCTTGTTGCCATGTAATGAAAAACTCTTTCTTTAAACCTTTGCTATTGGCATGATGTTTTTTATGAAATTCTGAGGCCTACAACACGCTCCCAATCAATAATCATAATTAAAGGTCTGAAAGTTCATGGTATGCCAGATCCACTCATCCATAGGTGCTGACCTAGACCTTAAAGGCCCAACTATCTTTTTGCAATCTAAGTTTGCATTTTCAAAAGCCAGCGATTCAAGAAGTATTCGTCTAGCTTCTGTGTCTGTTTCACCTGTGTTCAGAGCCTTAATTAATCTTTGCAAGAAGTCAGTATAGGATTCTCCTTGACCCTGTCTAACTCTGGCATATGACTCTACTTTCCTCCCTGGCTCTGGTATCTTCTCCCGCAGCAGCATGGGAGAGAGAAAAAGAAGGGGGGAGAATGCGGGAGAAAGAAGGGCAATACTGGGGCCAGCCAGGCAGTTGTCAGCCTGCAGACACAGTGCAAGGCACACAGAAAGAAAGCTAAAATGCCCTGAGGCAAATCATAGAAAGATACAGATTAAAATAAGAACTAACTTAATTGCCTAACATTCATAACTGATGTCATAACTGATATCATGATCATGATAACTGTGTCATGATTTGGGAGTTCGTTGGTGCCCCCCACCAAAAAACCCTGGCCCAGGACATCAAATGAAAGAAGTCTAGGCACCAGCATTAGATCCACATCTCAGTGGCCTCATTTTCTTCTGCACACTGTAGGGACTATGCTTCAGGACTACATTAACAATCCTCACTATGAGATGCTATTGCCAGCAGTTTTCTCAGAAAGAACTGTAGAAAGTGGGTATTCCCAGAAGATTCACACACCATTTGTCTTAACCTCTTCCCTGCAACCTCTGTGAACCATAGGCAGCACACTGGATTTACTACAACAAGTGTGATTATAATGTATATTATTCAGGACTAGAGAGCCGTCTCAGTGGTTTAGATCCCTGGTTGCTCTTACAGAGGGCTAAGTTTAGTTCCCAGCAGCCATGTGGCAACTCATAGCCATCTCAAGTTCAGTACCAAGTGATGCAATACCCTCTTATGTCCTCCTCAAGTACTAGGCACACATGTGCTAAGTATACATATATCTAGGAAAAATACTCAGACATATAAAGTAAAGATGAATAAAATAAACATTATCTATCAACAAATTCTCTCTTATGGCATTCTCTCAGGGAGGTCCATGAGGTAGGATATAATGAAGAGGACTCTGCTATACTGAAAAGCACTCATCAAGTGCATTGTTATTCCCCCCAATTGGTTCGTTTTTCCATGACAAAGTATATAATCATTCATTGACAATTTTGACTCTACTTTTAAATGCTTAGTGAAACAAGCTCGGAAAGTATCATTCAAGCACTCCTAACCACCTCAAACAAAGTTCATGTATAAAATCACAGATGTAGGAAATACTATAATAAGTCTTTATTTCAAAAGTTAGCTTCCTGTTGCACTCAAACTAGGATTTGAGACAACTGGTATCATAGCACACAGTGAAAAGTCAGAAGGCTCCAGACAGAAATAGGCAGGGAATTCCACCAATGTGACCAATAGTCTCCTCATCTGTAGAATGAGGGCTGTGTATAAGTTATGGGTGATGATGAAGAGAATCTAGAAATGTCCATCACAGTAAAGAAGAAAATTAAAACAAAGGGTAGATAATAATTCCTTCCACTTACAAATATTTGTCTTCTATTTCCGTCATTAATTTTGTAATTTTTTTCAATACAGTAAAATCGCTGTTCAACTTTTGGCACTAATTGATCATTTTAACCTAACCTCTTCATGTTTCTAATAATCTCAAATTTTTCAGAAACTAGGAAGTAAAGCAATCCATAAGTAAACATTAATATAGTTGAATAAAGACAACCACATTGATTAAAATATTTCTTGGAGAACAATTTTAACTTCTTTGGGGACAGTATGATAAAGTATGCTCGGTTATATGGCACGTGATGTGCATTTATAAGGGTGGTGACTCTATCCTTTAGTTACTGATAATTTCATATGTGTGATTTTTAAGACAGTAAAACAAATGAATATCTGTCTTTATTTAAAATAATTTAAATGTGATAAAATCAAATTAAATTGATCACTGTGGTATAATCAGATAATATAGGGTCTATAAAAATTATAGTCCCCAGTGTTCAGAGGGCAGGTCTGGGTTGTCGCCATTCACCATCCCTCTCAGCCCCAGGGAAAGTCAGACAGGCCTGGCTCTGCTGCCACCCTTTCTACCAGAGAACCTGAAGGAGGACTGAGCCAGTGACCTGGGCTGGAGCTGACCTGG